TAAAATGAAAGATGTTTTTTTTTTATTTAAATGTCAAATTATATTTCTAAAATTTGCGTTATTATTTATATTTAAAATGACACTTTTCACTTGTACAATTTACACATCTTATATTACAATAATATTCCTAATTTGTGTAATAACTTTATAGATGATTTTTTTTAATTGATATGGGAATTTTTCAATTTTCAAGCATCATTAGTATATAATTAAATTTTTATAATAAATATAAAAATAAATTATTATTTTTGTATATATGCAATATGGATATAAAATTGGAGTTCGTCAAAAAGAAATGATGTACTTTGATATATAATATATGAAAAAAAATAATTATAAAATACAAAAATTATTAACTTTTAAAATATATTTATAATTTACTGAAATTGACATATGGGAACGAAGCAGCAGAAACACGTAAAGTTAGACACTTAGATTCGAGAAATTACCCATTTTTATACACATGGAAGATTTATAAAGAAATATACAAAGATTTTTTATTTTATTTTATTTTATTTTTTATGTTGGGAATGAATCAAATTCTTTTTCAATTATTTTGATTATGATGTTTACACGAAAGGAACGAAGTTCGAACTAAAGTTTACGTTTGCATAAACTGACAAAAGTAGGGTGCGTATATGCATGAATCTATGAACTTAAAAGGGATTATGGTACACGTTATTTGTGTATCAATTTGTATATTTTAATTGATATATGCCATAATAATGGAAATATGGTATTTATATTCTTTAAAGAATTGTATACACTACAAGAAAATGATAAAATTTAATGGAAATATATTTCACTAAAATTATTCCAACAGATATTTCAATACTATTATTTTCGTTGGAGGTTTACCGGTTTGGATCGATCTCGGATTGCTTCCTTTTCAAATATGCCTTTCTAGCCTCCGTTGGCCTAGAATGGGATGATAGGAAAACTTTCAATGGATTCCAACGAAAATTCTTACAAAAATATTTCGTTGGAATGAGTTTCCACTGGATTTTGACGATTCCAACGGTGGATTTTCCAACGGGGGTGAAAATAAAAATTCCAGCGGAAATTTCTACAGTAAAAAGTCGTTGGGAGTATAGTCGTTGGAATCATCAAATTTCATCTAAAATTCCAATGAAAAACACATTGCAACGAAATATTTCCGTTGGAAACCACTCCAACGGAAGCTATACAATTGGAATATCCGTTGGGAATTTCATTGGATTATATATTACCATAAGATTTTCCGTTGGAATGTAAACTTTTTTTTTTTGTATAGTGATATAGACATGTATGTTGTGAAAAATAATGATAAAATGGCATAAAAACGAGTTTCAACACATATACGTACTAAGAATTTGTAAATAGAAACCAAATATCAACCACAGGAACGTGAGATGAAACCAGATTTCTATTAGTAAATATATAAATTTATTATAAATTATAATAATTTAACTGACAGTTCTATATTGTCATATAACACATATAGCCGAATCGCAGAAAATCTATTTGCCTTAAAGAAAACAGACGCGCCGTACTGTGTAACAAGTACTACGCCTTTTCTCTTAGGATAAGACGGCTCAAAGTCTGAAGACTGCATTATCTAACGCACTCACTTCGATAAAAATCTCAGTTGCCAAGAACCCTTAATTTTTCTAAGTCTTTGGAGGATAAAAAAGAATATATATGAATATGTTCCTTTTCTTTTTCTTCACCTTTTGTGTCTTCTCGTAAGCTTGCATGCACTCAATTTATAGTGCTCAAACAACTAGCTTTCATTCAATGAAGAGGAGAGATGCATTAATGTTCTCCTTCATGAATGTCCAAACAAATAACTCAAACGTAAGAGTTATTAACCACATACGATGTTGTGCATATGTTCAAAAGTAGTATTGTCACTTTAAGTTGGGGCATAGCTAGCGTTGTTAAATTAAACTAGTTTGGCTCAGCTAGGCTCGAGCTAGGCTCGAGTTCGGCTCAACTCGTTTCATAAACGAGCCGAGCTCAAGCTCATTTAAAGTTTGTTAGGTTAACGAGTTGAGCTCGGCTCGGCTCGGCTCGATAAGGCTCGAAAAAAAAATTTATATAATTTTTTGTAGTTCGGCTCAAACTCGGGTCGTTATGATTGTTAAACAAGCTAAGCTCGAGCTCGAATTCAGGCTCGTTACAACTCTAGACGCAACTAGAAATATTTTCGACCCTGTGCTGCTAGAACTGGTTTGTTGAGGAGTACAACTCAGTTCTGCTCGTAAAAAGTCAATGTTAACTCATTCATATAATAAACATAAAATGAAAATTTAATTTAAACGAGCAGAATTTAATTAATTACACTTGATTTATTAAATAATCCGAGTCGAACTTGCTAGTCTATTATACGAGCATAAGTTCTTTTTTCCTGGAACAAAAGGAATCTCATTAATAAAAGGAAGTTAGATTCAATACAGATGGGATACCCAAAACAACTGCAAGAACTCGAAGACACACACAGACGTGGTCTAGATAACCCCAAATGCAACAATCAAGTAACTACAAACATCTAACACTGCTGAAGTCCTGTAATCACAAATCAACAGTAATTAAAATAATACACTAGCAAAGGAACAAAATAATGTCATAAGACCTAAATTGTTCCGGCACTAGTACAATAAAATTAACCTGACAAAGATTTGTACTCCAACCAGTCCTTCACTGCTTGCTGCACAATAATATGCTTCTGCATCCATTGGTTTTGAAACTCACAACTTACGTGACTTGACTTCCACAACCACCATAGCAGGTAGGTGAAGAGTTGTATGCGGTCTTTGATGATCTCTATATGACTCAGACTACAGATATAAATTACTAAATGTGTGTCATGTTGTTTTAGTAAATTAAAAACACCTTATCTTTTTAGGCATAATTATATGAAATCGATTGCATTTTACACAAACTCGTAGATTTTTTTTTGTTGATATAGTAATTTTTTAATAAAAAAAAATATCGCGTAAGTTCATCTTGCGTAATTAAATTAAACTTATACAAATAATGTAATTTATTTCAAATACTACTATGATATTAATGTTTTATTATTAGGTGGTCAATCCAACATACTTGTTTTATGATATTTCACTTAAATTGTGTAAGTCCAAATATCGTTATTGAATAGACATGTTAGCCTTACATACTTGTTATATTTGATATTTTTACTTAAAATTGTGAAATTCCAAATATGCTAAGCAAATTAATGAAATTAAATTATATATTTCACATATTTATATCCCATTTATTTAAAAGTTAACTAATTGATATATTTCACATATAAAGTAATATAAATTAATCGTGTGTTAAACTAAATATTGAAATTGAAAACAAAAGAAGAAAAAATGACAAAGTAAGCTATAACCACACAAAAAATACATAAAAAGCTCGAGTCATGTAATAAAATATTTATAATTTTTTTGATTTAATATAAAGTAAATCTCAATTAATATAAACTAAATAATTTTACAATGAATTAAATTAATAAAACATGAGCTAAAATATTTTTTTACTACTACGTATATTTAGATAAAGCAAAAATTTAAGAGCGAGTCGAAGCCGGGTGAGCCACCCCTCCCTTCGTCCCGGGAGACTTTATGTACGGAAAGATAAACAACTAGTACAACACCCGTGTGGTGTTTGTTAAAAAATTATTCTTAAATTTTAAAATTAATGAGAAAACTAAATTAAATTTAGTTACAAAAAAAAATTACTATATATTTTAGAATGAGATATGTTACTTATGACTTACATGTGTTATATTATATTAGTTGTTATAACTTATATCATATAACTACTTGAAATATAAATATATTAGTTGATAAATAATTTTATTTTTCTAATTAATATTAAAAATAATTTTATTATTATTATAAAGATAAATATCAATTATTTTCTTTATACATACAATATGGATGTTAAATCGAAGCTCATCAAAAGAAGATTAATTTGGTATATTCCATATGTAAAACTGATAAAAAATGCAAAAGTTATTAACTTTTAAAATATATACAATTCAATAGTTATAATAAGGAATAATATTAAAATACAATTAATACATTAACATATTTATGGTAATCCAAACCTAATTATTTTTTGTTTGGAATTAAATTAAAATTTATCCAAACCTAATAACAAAGCATGTAATTTTGCCACATAGGATTCCGAAGCACCAGAAGCAACCACGTAGACTCAGCGCATTCTGTATTAATATATAGGGGAGGGTATTGTAGTTAATTAAGAATTTTTTTAACAACAAAGTAGAATTGATTTAATAGTAAATTATCTCTTAAAACACTTTATAAGTGGGCAATAAAATAAATAAATGGCATAAATCTCAAACCGATAAACTTTTTTGGAAGAAATATTATTATATTCAAAAAAAAAAGGGGGAAAAACGACAGTTAAAGTATCACAAATGGCCCCACAACCAAGCTCATACGACGTCGTAATGCATAAATGGCGGTGGACGTAAATACGCGCGAAACGAAGGTCCTTTTACCCACCGAACCGAAACCCCTCCCAACCACACTTGTCCGACACGCGTCCTCGATCTCCTCCGTCGACTCCAAAGAGCTGATCTGGGCCGTCCGTACCGACCCTTCTCCACTCGCCTATATATATAAACCTAACCCCAACCCCGCAAAACATAATAAACGATCACAAAATTTGCAGAGGATTAGAAATGTGCAGAGATTAGAGATTTAAGAGAGAGAGAGAGAGAGAGAGAGAGAGAGAGAGAGAGAGAGAATCTGTAATCAACCTTAACAAGGATTAAATAAAGCGATTCCCTAATTTTGATCTGCAAAATCAAATCAATTTTGATCTGTATTTTGGTTTTTTATTTTGAATTTTTTGTTGGATTTTTTCTTCTTTTTTGAGGGGAATTTGAACCAAATTTGCTCCGTTACCAGCAATTTCTCTTTCTTTTCTTTGTTCTGATTTCGTTTTCCGAGTTCTGTTACCGATCAGTGGGAGTTAAAATCGAGATGATGAACGAGCAAGCTCCGATGATGATGAATCAACAGCAGCAGCACTTGATGAGCTTAAATCCTAACATGGTGAGTATGAATCAAATGGGCCAACAGCCTCAGCCGCAGGTAATCGCCTTTTGCCAGAATAAGCCCTTGAATCTCGGTCGATTTCGTTCCGAGTTGAACAACAATTCCGTTAATTTTCACCTGCAGATGGTTCCTCCGATGAGTCGAGGCTACGGCGGCGTGTGGCCCCAGCCGATGCAGTTTCAGAATCCCAACCCTAACCCAGGCGCCATGAAACCCCCAGTTCCCTCCTTCAAGAAGCCGTTGGGTCCGAGGAACAACTGGAAGGGCAAAAAGGTAAATAAGCCCAACGACAAGAGGAGGAACAACGGCCAGCTGAAACCTGTGATGGCTGGTTCCAGCTCAGGTGGTCCTGCTGGTGTTGTGAATATAATCAGTGGCGGCTCCGGCGGGGGATCGGGGAATATGAACTTTAACAGCTATCAGCCTCCCGCTCTGAACGAGTTGCAGCACCAGAATCGACTCAAGACCCACAAATTCTTCCCCAAGAAGAAGTTCAATAAGAACAATACCAACAGGAATGCAAACACGAACATGAACATGAACATGGGAAGCGGCTACAACAATTTCAACAACAGCAGGGCAGCCCCTTATGCTCCGAGGAACACGACCTCATTCATAATCCGAGCAAAGAAGAGCGGCGGGATAGCTTCTCTCGTCTCGCCTTCTCCCGTGACGCCAGCTGTCCTTCCGACTCCCATATTCTCTCCTTCCAGGGAAGTTTTGGTTGATATGGCCAAGGAAGAGTGGGGGGTGGACGGGTATGGGTCGATGAAGGGTTTGATCCGGCTGAGGTCTCCCGGGCATGAGATGGAGGCCCACGATGAAGACGACGAGGATGACGGGGACTCGAGTGATAGTGATGTTGAGGAGCATGTCGAGGTAGAAAGGAGGTTGGACCAAGATTTGAGCCGGTTTGAGATGCTTTATAACCCGAATAGTGCTGTAGTTGGTGGGATGGATTTCCATAGTGTGCTTGAGAATCGTGTGGATGATCAGGACAGCCATATTTCACAGTTGGAGGAGGAGAATCTGATATTGAAGGAGAGGTTGTTTTTGATGGAAAGGGAATTGGGGGATCTTAGGAGAAGGATGCAGTTTCTGGAGAGGAGGGGAAATAGGGTTGGGGAAGTAATTAATGAGGAAGTTCTGGAGAATGTGTCGGAAAACGAGAGTGGCAGCCTTGGAGAGGAGGGCGGGCATTCGGTGGAGGACAATAATGAGGATTTTAGTGAACATAATACGAGGGATTCTAAGGGGAAACTCGGTGATGGTCTATATGCGGAAGTGGAGACTAAAGAGAAAAATGTGGGGTTTGGTTTTCAGAAGGGAGTGCAGAAAGAATTTGATATGATTGATGTAGATGGTAAGGGCAGCAGGAAGGTTAGTCATTCTGAAGGTAAAGGAGCAAATAACAAAGATGATGAGTACCTTGACATGAAGAACAAAAATGGTGATGTGTTTGATTTGGATAAGGAAGCAGAGAATAAAGATAAGGTTGGTGAAGCTGATGAGAACAACAAGGTTACTGAAACTGAAGGCAAAAATGAAAATGACAATGATGACTGTTGATGCAGATAGGGTTGAGGGGAACAATATGGTTGCTAAAGATGGAGATGGGATTAATAACCATGAGGTGATTAAGAGTGTGGATATGGAAGTGACAGTTATGGCGAACATCGATACTGAGTCATCTGGAAATATTTGTATGGAAGAATTTGGAGTTACAGAAGGCGCTACCACAGTTTTTTCGAGAGATGTTGCAAATTGATGAGGTTATAAGAAAGCTCAAGTAGGAGATTTGGGTCGACGACTTTTGAATCATTGGAATGTGCATATATATCTTCACAGGTGCTTTCCCATTTAGGTTTTGTACTTGGTAGTGCTTTTGGTTAAAATCCCTGAACATGATATGTCTGCTAGAGTGTAACTGAAGAGAGAAAGAAGATCGTTTTGTTTTCAAATATTATATCCCCTATCCATGACTGTTTCCTTTTTACTATGGCCTAGTAAATGGAGATTATGAGTATCTGTTTTAGTTTTTGGATAATTGTTCGATTGGTGGTGATGTTTTCTTTTCTTTTCTTTTCCCCTTCATCATGTGAAGACTTAAGCATATATTTCTATTGTTTGTAAGGAACCAGTGAATTTTTATGCCTTCTCTTAAATTGTTCTACGTGTCTACGCATTCCCAAAAGGATCTCGTTTGCATTGTTGATCCTTTGATTGCTTGCATTGGTAGATTTGTTGTGCCCGTAATTTGTTTCATAAGTTTATCACTGTTTATTGAAGTTGGAAAGAAGGTTGGCTGGCCCATCCTTCTGAGCCTGTGGCGACAGGGTAATTGATAGTTCTTGCAGCGGATAATCTGCCGAGTGCCGACATTCCTCGGTAAGCATGGTGCAACTGTTCTAGTAAAACTGGCCGATAATATATTTGTATCAAATAGGTGTTTTACAGAGCTTGTTTTGAGGTCTTTTCTGTATGTTCCTGTTTTGTTGGCCACATAAGTTTTCAGTCTTTGCTGGATGTTTCATATTCTGCGCAGATGTATAGAGCTTCCATTCGAATTCTCGCGGGACAAATTTGAAGGCCGTATTTGGTGAGGAATTGTTAGTTCAAAGCTGCTTTGGCCTCAGAATTGCAAATTGTTACTAATCTACTTGTTTATTTTCTTGCATACTTTTTTCTTTTCCTTTTTAGTGAGAGAGATAAAAAGAGAGACAACAGTTAATGGTATTGAGATAACTATAAGAATAATTATGAAAAATTTTAATTGATTACTTCTTTATGGATGTATTTTGGAGTTATTATACGATTCCGTTCTTGTCGATGCAGATTTACTCAGATCTCATAGCTAAGTAAGGCTTGAGCATTATTATTTGTCGTGTTAAGAGTGTTTATTTTACAAATATGAAAAGGATTTGATTAGATAGCTTTAATTTATGGTAGAATAATATAAGGTCACCAGTCCACTCATAGCATTTGCCAAGTTTCAACCCTGTCCCTGACTTGTGAGGTGCTCCAGAAAGATTCATTGTAAATGAATAAAAACTAACAGCTTAAGGTGGGATAGAGCTCATAGGCACAATCAAAACTGATGTCGAGAAAGCGTACGAATGAGAAAGATAAACGAGTAAACGAGATACTCTCTCGTAAAACACGCAAAACTCACAATATCAATTCATCTTTTATTCATAAACAACCATCTCATAACAAAGCAGAAGAGCCCTTTAAATAAGGCTCTTAACCCTATATGTTAATTTGTCCAACAAGACAAGATATCTTACTAAATATAAAACCTAACTTATTCTCCAAGATAACTAATAACAATAATAATAATAATAATAATAATAATAATAATAATAATAATAATAATAATAATAATAATAATAATAATAATATTCTACACCATTCTCCCCCGGTTCGGAAGGCTTCGTCCTCGAAGCCGATGCGCTCCCGTGGTCGGCGTGTGGCGTCGAACTCATGGTAGCAAACTCCGTCATTTTCCCCGGTCGAACACGAAGGTTGAACATCGCTCAACTTCGTATAACAAATGGAGGATCCGATCTTTAGCCTCATAAGACATTTTTGGTTCTTCAGGGAATTTCAAACATGGTCTCCAATTTATTATCTTGCGACATGCCAATAAGCGATGATTGCATTTCCGCTGTTGTAGCATAGTTTCTGTGTCCAAATGCCCGTGGTGCTCATTTTTAGAATGCGGAGAGATAAAATCAGCAACTTCTAGTAACATGAATGAATATTTTTCCAGTGGCTTACACAAGCCAAAATCAGAAAGCGTCACCTCGGGCCCCAAAGGTTCTTCATCGAAAATAGGCGGACCGTCGTAGAGACCGTCCACTTCGCCGGTAAGACGCTTCTCGACCTCCTCGGGCCCTTCGTCAAACACAGGCGGACCATCATACAATGGCCCGTCAACATGCTCTTCGTCGAATTCAGGGATGTCTACACGAAACGGGCCCTCCCATCGACCATAATCACGATCAAATTCCCAATCGTGTCGGGCACGATATCCGTCGACGATGGCAGCTTCCTCGCACTTGCCTATGTCGTCGCGTTGATCGTCGCCGTCCACGAAGACCGGGCCCCGCCGCCGCATGTCACGGCCGCCGTATGCAGCGAAGGGGTCAGCCTCGACGTGCGGGGGTGGAAAATCGTCGAAGGAATGCACCTCCGAGACTGTCTCCTCGCCGTCTTCGTCGCCGGACGGTGGTTGTGGAGATCTCCAACGGGGCGCCCCACCTGGACCACGGCCTCCACGTCCTCCGTGAACTCCCCCGTGCACGCCCCAGTTGCCGACGTCACAGTTCGTTTGCAAATCCTCAACAAAGTTGTTGATCATAAGACGCACTTCTTTGATCCCCGTCGAAAGATCTTCAACCCGACGTTCCAATTGATTGATCTGGCGGCCGAAACCCGTGGCTCGTCGACCCAGATACTCAATGGTGGCGTCACGCCCGTCGATGTCGTCCTTCCGCGGCGGCATCTTAAATCGTGCTGACTTCTGATACCAACTGATGTCGAGAAAGCGTACGAATAGGAAGGATAAAACGAATAAACGAGATACTCTCTCGTAAAACACGCAAAACTCACAATATCAATTCATCTTTTATTCATAAACAACCATCTCATAACAAAGCAGAAGAGCCCTTTAAATAAGGCTCTTAACCCTAGATGTTAACTTGTCCAACAAGACAAGATATCTTACTAAATGTAAAACCTAACTTATTCTCCAAGATAACTAATAATAATAATAATAATAATAATAATAATAATAATAATAATAATAATAATAATAATAATAATAATAATAATAATAATATTCTACACCAAAAACAAATGGTCTATTAATGTTAGGAGTGGGCATTGGTCGGTACGGTTTGGAGATTGACAAATCTCCGAAACCCTACCGAAGTCGGAGATTACTAAAATTTAATTTTCGGAACCATAACAAAAAATCGATTCGGTTCAGTATTTTATTTTCGGTTTGGTTCGGTTCGGGCATTCGGGGATTTTTAATTATTTTTAATTTTTTTTTGAATGGCCAGCTAGTTATATTTTAATTTTTTTATTTTTTTAAATCCAACATTCATCAATAGTTTATTATACTGAATATTTTATTTTTAAATTAAGTGGATAAATAACTTCAAATTTTAGGTAAGAATAAATTTGTGCAACTTACATTGAAAATTTAAAATTCAAATAAAATATAATATAGATTTTTATTAAAGAAATGTTTTTTTAACATTTCACAACATGTTAGTTATAAGATAATAAGACTAGTAATGAGAAATTTAAGTGATGTTTAAATATTTTTTTTAAAAAAAAATATTTCTGTAACCTTTCATACCATTTTAAATATATTTTCTTAAACCAAGAAAATTGAATTGTAGATCTCAAGTATTACTAAGCATGAAATTTAAGTGAAGATTAATTGTTATAACTATATTTTATTTCCATTTTAAAGAATTTCAAATTATATATGAACAAAATTGGCATAAAATATATTAATATCACATATCTATTTTTATAATTTGAGTTCTTAATTCCGGTTACGGTACGGGACTGTTGGGTTCGGTTCTCCGCATGGATATTTGTGGAATCTCCATAACCGTCCATTTATTTTTTTCATTTTGGTTCGATTCGGAAAAAGTCAAACGGTCAACATTTATTTTTGGGTTCGGAGTGATTTCAGTTCGGTTTTAGGAACTATTCGAAATTCTCCGAGTCTCATGCTCAACCCTAATGTACACAGATTTTGTGCAACAACTAACTATTCAGATTTTCAGCTGATTGATTTAGAATTCATCTGACAAAATCAGTGCACAGGTATAAAATGAAACAAAAAAAAAAAAAAAAGAGATTTTAAGAGCACCGTAAGGATGATTCAACAGAGTTAACAATTATGTTATAATATACCATTAATGGTGGCCATGAGATGACAGGACCAAAGCAAGTTTCATAAAAACACATAACAAAGTAAAGTACACAAATTACAGAAGTAAGCAGTGAAACTAAAAAGCCCCATCTTTGATCTAATTACACAAAAACAAACTTCACTGATATAAATAAGCGCCAAAAAAAAAAAAAAAGGAACCAAATACCTTCAATGGCCATGCTTTCTTTTCTTTTGACCCTTGCCCCCAGACAAAGACCCCACTCGATACTTCGAATTCGCAAGCTCACGAGGAATTTCCGCCCCAGACGACTTCAAAACTTCCACCAGCTCGGGAAACAGCCTTCTGTCCTCCTCGCCAACAAACACATAGGCCTTCCCATTTTCTCCCATCCTAGAAGCTCTCCCTATCTGGTGCACATACTCCGCCATCGAGTTCGGCATATCAAACACGATCACCTGCCTCACGCACAGCAGATCAACCCCACGTCCCAAAACCCCCGTGGCCACAATCACATCCACCTCGCCAACCAAAAACGACCCCAAAACCTCCCTTCTCTCCTTCATCGTCTTCTCCCCATGAATCGAGAGCGCCTTAATCCCGGTTTTCACCCTAATTGCCTCACACAGGAGATCGGCGCCGAGCCTCGACCCCACGAAAACCACCGCCGGCGGGTCGAAGTGCCGCTCGCTCGTCAAAATCTCGAAAAGCTTCTCCTTCTTCCCGCCCTGCCCAACCCATATCGCCACCTGGCGGACTGCCCCGGATGGTTTCTCAGGCTTCCCTACCGATACTCGGACGAAACCCTTGGCAATCGAGTCCGCCACATTTTCCACATCCTTCGAGACAGTCGCACTGTACATCAGCACTTGGGGACTGGATAAGGCTCGGAAAATCTGCATGACCTGATCGCGAAATCCTCTCTGCATCATGCAATCCACCTCGTCGAGAACAAGAATAGAGACACTACTGTCCAGATCAAAATCGTGTTTGGTGAGAAGGTCCACGAGCCTGCCTGGAGTACCCACGATCATTGAAACTCCATTCTTGATACGGTAAACTTGTCTCGCAATGGCGTCACCCCCGACCACTAGGGCCGTCTTAAAGGGCAGGCCTTTGCCTAGCGATTTGGCTTGTTCCTCCACCTGTACCGAAAGCTCCCTAGTGGGTGTGAGGACCAATGCCATTGGCTTTTGCAGGTTGCTTTTCGTTTTCGTGCAGTGAGATATTATCGGGACAAGAAAGGAGCAAGTCTTGCCCGACCCGGTCTCAGCTGAAACGAGCACACTCTGACCAGTCAACGCGCACGGGATAGCCTGCATCTGCACAGGGGTAGGAATTTCGTATCCGGAAGCTTCTAGATTCTGGACGAGCTTCTCTGGGAGGTCACAGGAACTGAAAGACAAAGCTGGGGCTGGGGCATTGTCCCCCTGAACTGATATTTCGAGCTTTTCGCGGAGCGCTTGGGCCTGAGTGTCGGTCATAGATCGAGATTCGGATTTGCTGTCTTCTCGAACATAGTAGCATTCGTCCTTGGCCGGTAGTCTTACGGAGGGCGCTTTGAGGGATGAAGGCTGTGATTTCTTGGCTAGCCGGGTTAGAAGAGTCTTTTTGCACTCGAGGCTGCAAACATCGTCATCTGTCTCGTCACATATGTACTCGCCGTATCGGCCACATACGGCACAGATAGGTTCGCCGGGCAAAGCTTCCCTTTGATCCCAACATCTTTGTTTCACATCATCCTCTGCGTTGGAAGTTTTTCAATAGGATAACAATTAGACAGTAAATTGACCATCCTCACCAACAATGTTCGCTATGCAAATTTTTTGATACAGAAGATATTACCATTTCTGCTAAATCTCAAAAGCTCGACAACAACACAGCAGAAGATTAACAAAACTACAAAAGGAAATCGAAGATGCTCAACAATCGAAGCAAGACACATGAGAGTAAGAGATTAAGCAATCAATTCAGACAAGACAACTCGTGCGAAGAAACTCAAAAAGGAACACACATTTTTTCCACAGTCAATGGAGAAGAAGGAGGCAATTGATCGCGTTCAAGCAATATCGAAGATGAAATTGAGTGAAATTTTTACCCGTAGATTGATTCTCATCAGCAGCCATTTGAATCTTTACAGGGTTTGCTCAGTTAATTGCAATTTGAATGACTAATTGAAAGCTCGTGATGAATTGAAGGCGAAGCAAAAAGACCTCTGTAATGGCTGCAACTCTCTCTCTCTCTCTCTCTCGCTTCGGAAGAAAATACAAAATGGGCCTACGCTGAGCATTGAGACTGATCGAAAGAGATAGATAACCCCAATTATGGAGCTTCGTGGGTTTTCATTTAGGGCACGGGTAATGTCAATAAATATAATATATATATACAATTTAACGAAGCTACAATCCCATCATGCAATGATTAGATCCCGTGAAGGATTTTAGCCATTAAATATACCGTTATTGTAGATTTTTTTTAATTTGAATATAAAATACTTTTTAAGAATATAGATATTATTTTATGTGTGATGAACTTATAGATAATTTTTTTTAGCTGATAAGCAATTTTATTAAGAAAATTATACCGAAATTCTTGAAAATAAATGTAAGAGGTAAGTTTATGTTATTTAATTTTAAATAATTTTTGAATGTATTATCACTTATGAAAAATTATAATTGTATTTTTGTTCGCCTTATATTATAATAATTTTTCTAACTAATATGCTTTTTAAATTGATATATAATTTATTAGTTTTTGATTAGTATTTGTAGATGATTTATTTTCATAACAAATGAAAATAAATATATTTATTTATTTATATGAGCAATAAATGTATTAAATCGAAACTCGCTTGAAGATGACTAATTTGATATATTATATAGGAAAAAAAATGATAACATATACAAAAGCTATTAATATTTATATATATATATATATATAATTTATGTTGTTCAAGTGTTTTTAAAAGTCCTAATAAGTAAGAATTGAATTCATCGACTACTCCGAAGTACTAGAATTAGATACATAGGGGTACAAAGCACCAGAAGTCGATGCGTATGATCAGTACATTTTGCATTAATACATATAGGGCATGCTTGAATATACTTGTTTACATCTAAGTATATATTTATTTATTTTATAAAATTTTCAAAACATCTAATTTATTAAAATCTTTTTGCATATGCATGGTACCATATATATCCTATGAAATTACTTTACAAGTAAAATAAAAATACCTCTCTAATCTCTAACCACACCACACAACACCAAAACCGTGATGCCAAGAAGCCGTGTGCCTCAACCCCACACAAAGAGCGTGAACCTTTTTATATAAAAAATACTTCATTTAGTTTCATATTTACCCATTCCTCTCTTTATTTCATGTAAGTAGGTTTTATCACTGGTTTTTTTCTTCCCCTTATTTAGAAACATATTTGTGATGGAGAACAAGGTGGACACACCCCTGGGCAGGCTGGTGGTCAAACTTGCAAGCCACGTGTGCAGCTTCCTTTTCCGCGTGCTCTCGGTGGGCCCCGTCCCCGACCACATCGCCTTCATACTCGACGGCAACCGACGTTACGCGCGCACGCGTGGCCTCGACGACGGCATGGGCCACCGGGCCGGGTTCGTCGCCCTCATGACCCTCCTCATGTACTCCTACATGCTCGGCGTGCGCCACGTCACCGTCTACGCTTTCAGCATCGACAACTTCAAGCGGCGGCCCCACGAGGTCGACCGCCTCATGAACCTCATACTCGAAAAAATCGAGAGCTTCCTCGACGAGGACAGCATCATCAACAAGTACGGCGTCCGAGTCGTCTTCGTGGGGAACCTCCGACTCCTGGACGAGTGCGTCCGGGCCGCCGCCGAGCGGACCATGCGGGCCACCGCGGGAAACAGGAAATACGTGCTTATAGTGTGCGTGG